AAACATCCTTTTGCCCACTCGCTTCTTCTGCAGTCTCTTGTATTCTGAAACCCAGAGTCTACTTGGTGATCAAAATAAGGCAGTTTTTCATGCTTATCTTCCTTAACCTGAGCCATTTGAAAGCCAGTTTGGCTGCCAGGTCCCCATGATGTGACCACACGTTTGATAGGAGAATCATCTTACCTTGCAATTACATTCTGGGTGTTCTCAGCCAGTATATATTGCAGGGCAGCCTGCGTCCTCTGTTAAAGATGGAACATGTGGCTGGAGATATTGCTTGTGCAGATGTACATTGTTTATTGTTCCATAGCAATAAATAAAATATTTTGGAATGCTATGGAGCTGACAATCTAGAGCAATTATTTCTCCAGCTTTTTTGTCTGTGATCCATAGTAAGAAATATATTTTATACCATGACCCACTTCATACATACAAGTAAGTATATATAACTGAAAACAAAGTTTCACAAAACAGTATTTACCCATACCATATATCTTTGTTGTATTTTATTTTGTTTAAAAAAATACTGGTTAACCAACAAGAGCCTACTTTATAGCACAGGGAATTATACCGAATATCTTATAATAACCTATAATGAAAAGAATATGATAAATAATAGATTTATATATGTGTGTAACTGAACCACTTGGTTGTACACCTGAAACATTGTAAATCAACTGTACTTCAATTTTTAAAAATGAAAAAAAAATGACTGAGAAATGAAAAAAAAATGCTGGTTGATTTCATGACCCAGTTATGGGTTCTGACCCTCATTTTGAAAAACTCCATTCTTAAGGAACACTCAAAACTTGACATTTATTGTTTCATTCCTTGCCTAACTATGTGAGGTGGGGGAGGAAAGGAATAAATATGCAAGCATAAAATAGCTGTTTATCCCATCTTGATTGACTTGCTGTGACTTATGAGGGAGAGCATGGTAGAGTGGAAAAGGTAAAAAGGGGGTTAGAAAATTTGGATTCTAAGTTGATCTTTGTTAACTTATGAACCAAGTGATCTTAATATGGAACCACACATTTTAGAGTTGGTAGAAGCTCTGGAAACCATCTTACACAGCCCTTTCAATGTTTAAACCTATGTTAAGAATATACTTTAAAGGATGATCCAGCTAAGTAGTATTGGGAGACAGTTTAGCACTGCGTTAAAAGTGAGCCAGAACCAGATGTGTGTTAACACACACCTAGCACAAAGTAATCACCGTATCCATGTAAGTGTTAGCTCTTACTAGTACTGGTAGAAGAATTAGTATTCTCTGAGCCTTCAGCTTCATCATCTGCAAAGGGGAACTAATAACTGATAAGGGAAACAAATTTAAGAATATTTTGCTCACCTCCTGGACGCCATCCTTCTAGAGAAAAAGGAAACTTGTCTTTATTTTCTAAATTTAGAAATTTACTGTTCCTTAAGTATTTCAGAAATGGTTATTCTCTTAATTAAGAGTTAGAGCTGTGTTTGAATTCTGCCTCTGCCTGTTTCGGGTCGAGAACCCTTGTCAAATTAGTTAAATGCTGAAATCTGTTTCTTACCTATAAGATGGGATTAGGGGGGCGATGGGGAGTTGAGTGACCATGTCTGTTCTTTAATATTGTTAAAAGATTAGCAATAATGTCTTTGAATTGCTCAGAGCAGTGTCTGGTCCTTAATTGAATCCTGAATGGGAGCTGTTACATTACAGAAAGTTTGAAACCAAAACCCATTCAAGGAGCCAGTTAGAAGAGAGTCTGTTTCCAGGACTCTGGCAGTGAGGAGCATTATACACATAGGAAGTCAGGAGTAGTTATCTTACTTAGCAGGCCTGCAGATGTTTTTATGGAATGTTCTTTATTGAGTAGGCCAGCAATAGAAGGGCTGGGTGGGAGACTGTGAGCAGTTAAAAGGCTCTTGTTGGCAAGAAGAGGAGCTATTAGTTGATGAGGAGCTCTGAGGGTCACAGTTAGACTGGCTGTCATCTCCAAGGAGGAAGTGAGCGGTTGGGCCTTCTCTGTGACCAGGGGTCTTCAGTGTGGGAGAGAGCCCCACCCGATGAGGAAAGGCATCACCTAGTACACTGTTCACCCCTCAACTCACCTCTATAGAAAACCCATTTTCTGATAAGCTATAAAACTTTATCTCTGGGATGAGGGGCCTAAGAGGTGCCTCACAAGAGGAGTTGAAAGGAAAGGAAACACACATATGGAAAAGGGAAGTTGAGGAAGAGATCTATGGGAAACTTGGGCTGAGGCAGGTATTTTCTTGCTCAACTTGTTACTTTACAAGAACTGACTGCCACTAGATGGCACACAGATCCCAGCACTATTTTGACTGTATAAAAAAAATTTTTTTTTAAGATTCTTTTCAAAAGATAGGTCACTAATATGTTTTTAAAAATAAAATACGATATGTAACCTATTTTAGTATTTCATTTTAGGAAGGAATAAAGGGTGAAAAATTAAAGTTCAAAGTCTATTTTGTGGGCTCAGTTTGTGCTACAGAGAAAGCCCAGTTTTTGAGGTTGCACAGTGGCTCATGGTCTTTGTTCACATGTAGATGATGTCTAAAATTTGATTCTCATGTGCAACTGCTTTATTTAATTTCTTAAGTGAGATTGTTGGAATGTGCATTTATAAAGAAGAGAGTTATCTGTCCCCAGAGCAGTATTTTTTTTTCTTCTTGTTCTTTCTTAACCACTACTAGAAATTTCATTTCTTAGAAATTTTGGAATTTTACTTCTTACAGAATATTATGTTGCTTTTAAACAGATATGTCTGATTATTGGTTTGCCTTTGTGTTTTAGTCATATGTATGGGTATGTGGGTTATATACACATGTGGATACAGTTAAAAGAATGAGTTAGACTGGTCACTGAGTGGGAAGAGCAGAGGAAGCTCAGAGAGGGGGTGGGCACTTGACACGCCCCCCCCCCCCGATACCAACCAAAAAGAAAAAAAATGAGACCAGGCCTTGTCAGGCAGTGATTGTCACCACTGCTCCCACCTCAAAAGTGGCTTGTTTAGACCAGCAGCAGCAAAGAAAAGGTACAACAAAGCACAGTCTATGCCTACCGTTTGTTCAGGACCAGCAATTGAGGATAATAGTTCTATAGCTTTGTTTATAAACTGTGACACTAAAGCCTTTAGCTTTAGCCATTGAAGACCCACTCAGGAAAGGGAAATCATAATAAAGGTTTGTTGACTTGATGTAATCATTTGCTGTGAAGGATATGAACAGAGTCCATTAAAATCCTTCCCGTCATTCTTGTCTGGCTCCCCTACAATGGCCAGAAACAGGTACATGGTGACAAGCTGCCCCCTTAAGAATGAATTACACGGGGTCCTAGCTTTATGTGCTCTGGTTCATTGAGGCTGATGCCTCCCCCACTGCCCCCGACCCCAGCAGCATTATCAGTATAGATATTTGGAGCAGTCTCCATGTTGTGTTCTCAAGCTGCCTCAGGGACTGCCCTGGAGGAGCCTATGTTTCCTGAGCTGCTGGCTATTGTTCCTGTCCATCCCAGTGCACTGCCTGGGTTGGGGTGTGACGATAGATGTGGAGAATCATGGGCAAGTACCTAAGAGATCTGAGGAATCTGTGGAGATATAGTAATATTTTGTTAATTAATTAGTAAATTAATTTACTTATTAAGTAAATTAATAAGTTAACCACGACAGTAAGTTTTCAAAAAAATTGTCAAATAATGTTTTTAAATTTAGCATATCACTTTAAAAGCTTTACCTTAATTCTACTTTGTATTATAGTCCCCCGAAGAGTTCCTAAAACAAAAAGAGCAAACACATGATTCTGAAAAAACAGGTCATTTTGGACATGTGTAAATACAACCATAGTATGCTTGACACACAGGTACCATGCACTCCATAGCTTAGGTGGATCTACATACAGGCTGACTCGAATTCTTTCATGTTATAACTAGGACTTCGATTTCTACATACTAGTTGATGGATCAGCTTTCTTGTTCCTACTTGGCCCCCATACCCCAGGCTGTGGATAAAAAAGCTTCACCCTTGTGTGAAGGGCAAGGCATTGGCATAGAAGTCCACTCTGTCTGCAGCAGTCCCTTCCCCTCCTCCCCAAGATCTCAGCTCCAGCAACAACGACAGTGAATAGTGACATGGACGTCACCCTGGGCATCTCTTTAATGTCACCAACAGATCTAAATGTAATCAATCCTAATAATAGAGCTGTATGTGTGGAACCTTGGGTTAAGCACTTAATTACATTATCACATATGAGTGAACTAAGATTTTAGGGAGTTTGGGTGACTTATCTAAAATCAAGTCACTTGTGCAAATAGTAAATGTAGGCACCACTATGTAAAACTCGGTCTGTCATTGTGTTATTGTGAAGTTGCATTTTGCAGGCATATAGCCCTCTTGTGTATTAAACCAGACTTATGGGCTGTCTGCTCTTCACCCCACCTATATTATATAAGCAGTGGATGTCATCAGGCCTGAAATAGGGAGTATACATGGCAAAACCCCAGAAGAAATGTGTGAATAAATGATTTTTCCAGGTATTCCAGCCATTGACAAGTAAAAACACCCAGACAAGGGGATGGCTGCTGACTTCCTCAATGTTAGGAAGAAACTGAAGATTTAACAAAGCAGCAGAGAAATACAGATTGAGGAACAGTTAGAGGCACTGTGACTGGCTGCAGATCCAAAGTTGTGCCTGTAATATGGGCCATTTAGAAATTGTAAATGACAGTCTTGACTGCTCACATTTTACGTGTTTACAGGACAGTGGACTCCACAATACTGCTTCATGGGGACTTTGGCTTCTAACAGTCATCATGTGCTGAAAGAAACTGTGAAACATCTGTAAAAACCATCTTTTTTTGATGTTTTTAAGTTGAGAGAGTTTTGTGAGAGTGAAGGTGGGCAGGTTAGCAGTATCTTTAAGGTTATTTTTTTTCCCCTACAGTGTACTTTTGATTATTTGAAGGTTAATTTTAACCTAAGCTCTGTCCTTTCTCCCTGTTTTCCTAGGGCTTCCTCAAGAATGAAAAGGATAATGCCCTGCTGTCTGCCATTGAAGAGTCCCGGAAGAGGGTAAGAAATGAACCCAAATGTGGATGTGTACTATTGTGAGGACAGCAGTGTATACCGGGGCTTGCAGCTTCTGGGAGCTGGAGTCCGTGTCCCAGGTCTAACTCTCCTACTTAGTTCACCAGAGGGAGTTCTACAGGAGCCATTTTTGAGGAAAATACCGTGCTTATAACTCTTTGTGTACTTAAGAGTGACTGCATCTGAAACATGAGGCTGATCAGTTAATTACTAAATTAATCTTAAAATGGAAGGACCAGATAATTCTTTGGTTTCATTGTTATAATTTAAGGGGTATTTTGGTTTCTACTTAATCAGCAGTTCAGAAAAGCAATTATGATCATTGATAATTTTCCTCAATTTCTTTTATTTACTTTCTATGCCACCTTTTATATTAACAATTTCTCCAAGCTCTTTAAAGCAAACAAAAAACAGCTTGAAAGGATAGTAAATAAGCCAGAACAGCCATTGTAGGTGCAGCTTTATTTTGCAACAAACATTCCCTCAGGATGCTCTAAGATTGTTTACCTTCCTAACATGAGTTATCTCCATTTGTTTCTGACAAGGATTAAAACCTTTTCAAAACATTTCATTATGGAATAAGAGATTTTTCAGGCCCCTGGGTCTTTTGGAGAGGGAGGAAGAAGGTTAGTGATCATGTGGAGTTGATTCTAAAAATGCAGCTTTTCCCAGGAAGGAGGCTGGAGGGTTTACGCTAGTCTGGAAGCAGTAGCTGTCTCTACAAGGGCGAGTAGGGGTGAAGGGACCTCTGTTTTGCTGTTTACTTATATAACCCTGATATCAAGTGAAATATATGTATGTCTAATTTATGTAGTTCAAAAAATAAGAGGGGATGGGTATAGCTCAGTGGTAGAGTGCATGCCTAGCATGCACGAGGTCTTGGGTTCAATCCCGGGTACCTCCATTAAAAATATAAATAAATAAATAAATAAATAAGCCTAATTACCTTTCCCCTGCAAAACAAAAAAAATAAGAAAGTTTTAAAATATGCTGTTTCTCAGTATGCTTTATTAAAATATTCCATACAGGTGAAAATGTCTCAGTAGGGCCGATGTGAGTGAGACAGGACAGCAGGGGAGCTTACCAGCTCTAATTTATAAGAAAATGTTTCAGAGACACTATTTAAATAACTAATATGTTTAATTATCAGAGTAAAATTCCCTAGAATTTAATTAATTATATTTTTGGCAATAGTACTTACTTCTAGAAATAGAGAAATTCGCTTGATTCAGATTTGAAAATTTTTTTAAAGGTTTTTTTTGTTGTTGTTGTTCACGCTTGGAGTGAATTACTCAGCAACATTGATTCTTCTGCTGTAAAGGACCAGTGAAATTAAATTAGGATTGTCGAATGCCACCGAGCCTTATTAATCCATTTACCCTGCGGAATGTGTTTCTGAAATTGGCAGTCTCTGAACGTTGTGCCATACTGAGACTAAATGTGCAGCCAGCCAAAACATTTAAGTGACATACCACAGTGCAAAATGTGTGCATATGTGTTTGTGAGGGAGATGTTCCGGTGTCGGGAGCCGGCCTGGGGGGGGGTACCTTTCACCTGTCTGGGCACCAGGAGGCTGCCGCTCAGCAAGAATCATTTTCAAACAAAAGGTGAGCAGCTTCCTGGCATTTTGGTGATAATTTCATGTTTGAATAACTTGCCAATGTCCTGCTGAAATGCCAAGAAAACAAGCTACAAAACCACAAATGTGTCCTATCTTTTCCCATTTGGTGCATCCCAGCAAAAACAGAACAACATTATCAGAACATATGTAGAGTTTCTAAAAGCCAGCGACAGCTCAGTAATAAGCGGGTGTGAAGTCAAAGCATATTGCCCTCTTCCCTTTATGAAAATGGGGTTTGAGTGCTCCCCACCTGTTCTTAGTTTAGTTGCCCAGTTCTCTTCCTGCCTTCCTTTCTTAACTGTGTTTGAAGAGATATATTTCCCCACATAACTTGAAAGATTAGGATTTAGTATAGTTTCTCCACTGCTTTGTCATTTTCTGTGGTTTGTCTTTCCTTTTTTTTTTTTCAGACCTCTGCACACCCTTCCAGGTGTATCCCTTTTCTCTCCCTTTGGGTTTCTTTCCTTCTTGTCCCTTTTATTCCTCCTGTCTGTCACCTCCCCTCAGACCCCACACTGACCTCCCCTTCTCTTAGTTCTTGGTTAAGTAGCTCTGTTGATTCTCTCTCATTAGCTCCTCTAGATGACATTCTTCTTTACACCTAATCCAGTGGTTCAGATGTGGGTCTAAAGGGAATAGGCTGGAATAGGGCAGTTGGGTGGCTGATCATCCTTGATTAGCCCATAAATTGGCTGTTCCATTATTTCTAATGTAATTAAGATAAGCTAAGGGTGGCATGGTCAAGGGAAGAGAATTTTAATATTGGGCCATTTATTTTTATTTGAAGCTCCTTATCACACTCATGATGATTGGAACGACAGTGCTGTTTATTGAGGTTGTGGGGCTGTTTCTAAATGAGTAGCCTGGCATACTTCTCAGATAAATATGAGGATTTGAGCCCAGAAAGCTGCCAGTTTTCGGAATACTTCTTGTGTTCTCAATGCAGGAGTTCTTGGCACACAGGTGAGCAGCCTGATTAACAGGATGGTTAATACCCACTGTTGTCGGGCTGACCCTTATGTGATGCTGTAAGTCTGCCCCGACCATCCTCATCAACAGTGTCTCTGAGATAGATTGTGTTTTCTCCAGTTGCCTTTACTGCTCTGCCATTCTTTTTCAGCGAGAGGACTTGTCCTTAAGAAAAATTCTTGTTGAACTATGGTGTCTTGGTTCAGTGCCACAGCTTAGTCAGTGCCTCACTTCCTGTTGCAAGTGTGGAAAGCAGTATGGTATGCCAGCCCTCCTCTACTCCTTATTTCAATATTCTTTTTCATTAAAGATTATTGCAAGATATTGAATATAGTTCCCTGTGCTATACAGAAGAAATTTGTTTTTTATCTATTTTTATGTATGGTGGTTAACCTTTGCAAATCTCAGACTCCCAAATTTATCCCTTCCAACCTCATTTCCTCCAGTAACCATAAGATTGTTTACTATGTCTGCGAGTCTGTTTCTGTTTTGTAGATGAATTCATTAGTGTCCTCTTTTTTTCTCCTTCCTTCCTTCCTTCCTTCCTTTCTTTCTTTCTTTCTTTCTTTCTTCCTTCCTTCCTTCCTTCCTTCCTTCCTTCCTTTCTTTCTTTCTTTTTTTCTTTTCTTTTCTTTTCTTTTCTTTTCTTTTCTTTCTATAAGATTCCACATATGAGTGATATCATATGGTATTTTTCTTTTTCTTTTTGGCTTACTTCACTTAGAATGATAATCTCTAGATCCATCCATGTTGCTGCAAATGGCATTATTTTATTCTTTTTTAATCACTGAGTAATATTCCATTGTATAATAGGTACATTTTTTCAATCTAAGCTAACTAGGATGGTCCATTCTGCCTGACTCTCAGTGAAAAGAAAACCAGGTGAAAGACTGGTTTTAAAGGTTTTGATTATCATTTCTTCTTTTGTCTTCAGAGTACATATTAGAAAAGAGATCCATTGATAGATGGACCAAATCAAATTTGCAAAATGTGCCAACTTTCTTCCTAATCATTTTTTGTGGGGGTCTGTTTTGGGTTTTTTTTTTTTCACATTTTAATACTTACTGGTCCATACTCAAAAGATCCCATTTGTAGGAAGAGTATATGATTTTTCTGATAGTTTCCCAGAGCTCATGTATATGGATATTATCAGTATAAATTATCAGCATTGCCAGAAATAAAGCAAGCATTACTAATACTCATTCCCTTGATGATACCTAATTAGATGCCAATCTGATTGTAAATGAAGTGGCTTTTCAAAAAATAGACTTTAGCTGATGGGAAACCTGGTCTGCCTCTTAAAGAATAATACACTAAGAATGGTCATGATTCAGTATGTCTCTTTAAGTTGCTTTAAACTCCTCCCTAGAGGATTTTGGGGGTGGGTGGTCTTTTTTCCTTCTTTCCTCCCTCCCTCCCTTCCTTCTTTCTTTGTTTACCTTCTTTTTTCTTTCCTTCTGAGTGCCTTTGTTTTGGCAACAACCCTACAGTGTCACCAGTAGACAGGACTGAGGTTTGCCAGGTACTTCAGTAGTGACTTTGAGTAAACTGGTAGGAAACCTCATCACAGAAGAGGCTCTGTGTTTTCTTTTACTGATTTGCTGCCTCCTATGAAAATGTTACTGTTTAAAAAAAATATATATATATATATATAAGGACACTGGGAAAATCTTTTGTTTTTTGTCTTGTCTTAGATGCTTATTAAATCTTAAAATAGTTGTGTTTTACAAACCATTGTCATTTTATATACTACAAAGAAAGAGTACTTTAGTTTAAAAATTTGACATGCTATCAGTTGTAATATATAGCCTAATTTCAAAGGTTTTAAGGAGATTTTTGTCTTAATAAGCACATGAAAATGTTCAGCATCACTACTTATTAGAGAAATGCAAATCAAAACCATGAGTTATTACCTCACACCCATTAGCAGGCTACAATAAAAAAAAAATAGGAACTAGTACGTATTGGAGAGGATGTAGAGAAATTGGAACCTTTGTTCACTGTTGGTGGGAATGAAAAATGGTACAGCTTCTTTGGAAACAGTGTGCAGTTGCTCAGTAAATTGAACATAAGATGACCATGTGATCCAGCAATTCCATTTCTGGATATATACCACTAAAAGTTGAAAGCAGGAACTTGAAGAGATATTTGTATACCCATGTTTACAGCAGCATACTCAAGTGTCCATGGATAGATGAATGAATAAACAAAATGTGGTATATACTTCCAGTGGTACAGCTTTTAAAAGGAAGGAAATTCTGCATATACTACAACATGAATGAACCTTGAGGACTTTATGTTAAATGAAATAAACCACTCACAAAAAGACAAACACTATATGGTTGCACTTACATGAGGTACCTAGAAGTGGTCAGAATCATAGAGGCAAATGTAGAATAGTGGAGAAGGAGGGAATGGAGAGTTATTGTTTAATAGGTGCAGAATTTCAGTTTTGCGCAATGGAAAGAGGTCTGGAGATGGATGGTGGTGATGACTGCACAACGTGTACTTAGTATCACTGAACTTTATACTTTAAAATCGTAAATTTTTTGTTATGTGCATTTTACCAAAATTTAAAAAAATTTGAATACGTTAGACTCAGTGAAGTAGGGTATGTTGCAAACAGTTGTCAGAAAATTCTTCAATGATAATTTTTAAAATAGATTCTTCTGCTCTACTTACTGAAAGATGGTAGATCTGGGGGCTTTGAATTTCTGTTGAAGTTTGAGTCATCTCTCTGCTCCTCTCCAACAGACCTTTGGCATGGCTGAGGAGTACCATCGAGAGTCAATGCTGGTCGAGTGGGAGCAAGTGAAACAGCGGATTCTCCACACACTACTGGCATCCGGAGAAGATGCCCTTGACTTTACTCAAGAAAGCGAGGTAGGTTGAGTCCAAAAGATAAATCACAATTAAAAACGTGAAGTCAAAGAATGCTCATCTACTCGATTGCTGGCAGTCTTGGCACAGTGATCACTGTCTCCCCCTTGAAGCCCTTTCTTCATTAGCTTCCTCATGCCCACGTTTGCCTGTATTTCCTCCAACATGTCTGACTGCTTCTGCTCAGCCTGTCTTGCTGAATTTTTTTCAAACTCCTTGACCTCTAGATGTTTGAGTGTTCCAGAGCTCAGACCTTGACCTGTTGTTGTTTCTCTCTCAGTCACTACCCTATTGATCTCATCTGGGCTTGTGGTGGTAAATACCATCTATCTACTGAAGACTCAAATTTACATCACAGCCCCAAACTGCCCCCAGACTCATTTACCCAGTGGCCTTCTTGTCTCTACTCAGATGTCTCAGACATTAAGCTAAACATGTTGGAATTGAGTCATGGTAGCAACTGCCCCCAACTCTCCACACATCAGCCTTCTTTTCTCAGAGTTTATCATCTTTCTAAAGGGCATTTCCAGTTTTTCACTTGCTCACATCAAACACCTCAGATACATTTTTGTACTCTCCTTCTCCCACCTAGTCTCTCTCACATGCTGCAAATCCACTTAACCCTACTCTTCAAAATATATCCAAAATCCAACCACTTCTTACCACCTCCACTGCTAGCACCCTGGTCCAAACCACCACATCTCTTGTTCAGATTATTGAACTAACCTTCTCACTGCTTGGTTCAGTTATCTATCGCTGTGTAACCAATTACTCCAAACCATAGTGGCTGAAAACAAGCATTTAGCTTAGCTGCATATTCCTGGCTCAGGGTCTCTTGAGGCTCAGTCAAGGTGCTGGCTGAGGGTACACGCATCTTAAGGCTCAGCTTGGTGCAGATCCACTCCCAAGCTCACTCACGTGCCTTTTGGCGAGCCTCGGTTTCTCTCTGGCGTTTGGTTAGGGACGGCAGTTCCTTGTCATGTGGTCTCTCTTATGCTGCTCGCAGCATGACAACTTGCTTCCCTTGGAAAAAGAGTGAGGAATCCAAGGAAGAGCCTAAAGAACCCCCGAAACAGAAACCACAGTCTTTCCATGACTTAATCTTGAAAGTAATATCCTGTCACCTCTGTTTGATCGAAGTAAAACACCAAATCCAGCCTATACTCAAGAGGAGAGGATCAAACGAGGGCTAGATCCCAGGAGGTGGGGATTGTTGGGGGCCATCTTAGAGGTTGTTGACTGCACTGGTCTCCCTGCTTTTGTCCTTGCACGGTTTTCTCAGCGGTCTTCACCACGGCCAGAGTGACACTATTAAAACACAGGCTAGATTGTGTCACTCCTCTGCTCCAGTGACACCCGTCTCACTTGAAGTGAAAGCCACAGTGTTATTCACCATGACTGCTAAGTCCCTGCCTGACCTGGTCTTGTTGCCTCTCCAAGCTCACATTATCCTACTCTTCCCATTGCTCTTGCTGCTCCAGCCAACAAGCTCTTTTCAGGCTCCCTGAACAAACCTGGTGGGCTTGCTCCTGCCTCAGGTCCTCAGGGCTTCCTGTTGCTTCTGCCTGGAAGGGTTTTCCCCCAGATAACTGCATGGCTGTCTCCTTCACTTTCTTCACATATTACCCAGGGCCATCTCAGTGAGGCCTTCCAAGGCCTTGATATCTGAAATCCAAACCAACCTCTCTCCATTCAGCACTTCCTGTATACCCTTTTCTTGCTGTGTTTTTTCCTTTTTTAGCACTTCTTCACTTTAAACCATCGTATATGTTTTATGTCTTTATGTTGCTTATTGTCTGTTTCTCACAGTAGATTGTAAACTCCACAAAGGTAAGGATTTTTGTTTGTTTTGTTTACTCATATCTCCAGTGCCTAAATGAGTGCCTGGAACTTATTAGATGCTCCAGAAATATTTGTTGAATAAATCATTTGGCTTTAGTTAACTTAGTGCTAACCCAAGTATTAAGGATATGTTAAAACAGTGTTATTCTAGAGTGGGTGTGTTAAATAGGGTTTATTTTAACTGCCAGTGTTCATTGATTGGTGATGGTGCAAAGTCGAGGATTTTCTCTTCTTTAAAATCTAATCTTTTTTAAGGCAGTGCATTTATGTGACTCAAGAACTAAAGTGCCCTGTCTCACAAAGCCCATTCCCTCCCCTGAGGTAATCATTATTACTACTTTCTTGTATACATTTGCAGTGTTTCTTTATATGACTACAAGGTGATATATTCTTACCTCCTCTCCCTCTTACACAAAAGTTAGATTACTCTGTACTCTGTTCTGTATCATGCTTTTTTTCACTTATGTATTCTGGAGATCTTTTCTGAGAGGGATTTTGAGGCTGCATCTTTGGATCAGCAGGAAAGAGTGTCTCACTTAATTAGTGATGTCTGCCCTTGTGCCAGTGGGAGCTGTGACTTGCCACACATTTACCATGCTGGTGTTGGGGAGAGAATGGCCTTGGGATTCAAATCCTGGCTTCACCACTGACTAGTTCTGATACCTCGTCCAAATTATATAATCCTGCAGACATTCAGTGTCTTCACTGGTGAAATGGGATTATTGGGGAGATTAGTGATATGCATCCGGCCCATAATGACGATCCCTTACTATTGTTTTAAAATAAGTAGTTTCAGATAATTTGGAGGTACAAGTTAAAAATTACAGTGTCACAAAAATTATAGTGTTAGACATTTCAAGTAATATTACCAGTGCTTCCTGATAAATCTTTCTCCCACTAGTATTCTTTTCTTATGAGAGATAGGACAACTGAGGCTCAGAGGTGTGTAATATGCTGGTGAGACCCATACTGTTGGCTTCTGGACCACCGTTCTAGTGAAGTCTGGGTTAAAGGTGGTAGCTTGTCAGTGTGTCATGCCTGCAGGATAACTTCACACATCCTGTATCTACAGATTTGCTCCTGATTTAAAACTCAGTTTTTGTATTAAATTAGCCCCCAAATAAATAGATGCTAAAGTCATTTTCTTAGGAAATTACTCATTAAGGAGCCTCTTCCACATTTCTTAGACTCAAAGACATCAAAGACTCAGAGCAGAGTCTTTGGGAAAGAAGAGCTAATGTATAAAACCCTTGGCCAACCTAAGGTTTCTTTCTCAACTTCTTGTTAGTCTGGGCAGATAAGTAGAACAGCTCATGGTTCTACTTCATTTTTTAAAATTGTGTTAATAGGTTGTGGTCTGTATTGGGATTTGGAAGTAATTATAAGCTGCTAATGAGATAATCTTTTTTGATTGCTCTTCTCTTTAAAAATAGACTAGTCTATTTAGTAGACTCTTCTTCCTTGACCTCGAGTCCTCTTGAAAGGGAGTTATCGATACTTTTACCGTTCTCTGTTGTGACACCTGGGAGAGTGGATGGCTTTGCAGGGAAAGCTGACAAATGATGCAGATATTCTATCTTCAGATTATCCAGGGAATTGCTATTTTCTGGAACCTTGTAAGTTTTGTTGTTTGTTGCTATCTTAAACTTTTTTCCTGAAGTGTAACATATATACAGAAAAGTACACACATCATAAGTATACAGCTCAATGAATTACCAAAAGTGAGACACATCCAGATGAAGAAACAACATTACTGGCACCCCAGCAACCCCCTTTGTGTACCTTTTCATTCGCTACCTCTTACCACCACCACCAGGACGAATACTGTCCTGACTTCTAACATCATAGATTAATTTTACCTACTATTAAACTCTATGTAAAAGGATTCATACAGCATGTATTCTTATTTCTGGCTTCTTTTGCTTGACATTGTGTATGCTGTTACACATAGCTGAAGGCCATTCATTTTCATGGCCGAATAGTGTGACTATAATCTGTTTATCCATTGTGGTGTTGATGGACATTTGGGTAGTTTCCAGTTCTTAGCTTTTATAAATAGTGCTATTCAGGACATTCTTGTGCCTGTCGTTTGGTGAACGTATGTTTGCACCTCTGTTGGGTACAGCTGAGAGTGCAGTTGCTGGGGCAGAGGGTACACATGTGTTTAGCTTTAGCAGATGCTGCCAAAAGCTTTTCCAGAATGGTGTGTCACTGTCCCCTGCAACCAGGACTATTAGAATTCTGCTTCTTCCATATCTTTACCACACTTGGTATTTTTTCTTTTTCAATTCAACCATTCTGGTGGATGTATGGAAGAACCATGTATTTTAACAGGCTTTTTCCATGTAATTTTCTTCAAAATGATGGAAAGGAGATACTATCTCCACTTGGGCAGGCACTTTCTCTACCCTCTTTGTAGGAAAGCACAGAGTGTGAAGCCCGAAACAGTCTTTGGAATTCAGCAGGCCTGAGTTCCCAGGCTTCTTCCCAGGAACCTCATTATAAAAATCCTCAGTTGAAGAACCTTTGGAAGGAAGGTAGAGTGTGTATAAGGTGCCTGGCACAGTGCCGGCATGAAGTGAATGCTTAGCACATCCTAGCAACGTTTATAGCAGTGGTTTGGACTTGGTAAGCTACACATTATTGAGGGATTTTTTTCCCTTGTCATTTTAATATGGATCTGTCCCTTTTTAAAAGTGTTCCTTGATTTATAAGGTGTCACTAGGAATGAAAAAAAATCTAAGGGAATAAATAGAAGAAATAATTTAAAGTATGACTTGCCATCTAAGCTTCTCTTTTCTGAACACTTTATTGTCAGGAATAAGGTTATTGAAATCCTAAGAGGCATTAGTTAGGAATGAGGCTTCCAATCATTTTGAGCTGACCTTACATTTGAAGAAAAATGTCCAAATTTGGATAATTAAATATAAATAGAGGCTTGAGGCTTTTTTTTTTTTTGAGCAAAAATGAACTAGGATATGAAACATTTTCTGAAACATTTTCCCCCAAGCCTTCCAATAACAGAAGAGCAACAACATATTAGTAATACCTGTTCCTGGCAAGTTTTAATAAGGGAAATGATGCTTCAGTAGCATAAATTCAGTTTGGAAATTAATTTTCTTAGGATACTGAAGAAAGGTAGGAATTGAAAGATTGTTACC